AAACAGGTTTTGCTATTGGCTTTAGAAATGCAAGGATTCTTACAGTAGTGTCTCAAAGCTGAGTAGCAATTTTTTTTCCAGGCAGAGTCACAGCTTCAACACTTTTAAGTGGAGATGTGAACTCCATTGAAAATTGTTTGCGGGTGGGTTTGCAGTCAGCCTTGCTGATGGGAGTTGGGTCATCAGCCAGGAAACAAAGCTGGAATGGAGGGTCAGGAGTCTCTGGAAGAGGGGACATGGGTCTGGAAGCGGGACCAGAATTGTGGTCATACAATGGGAAGTGTACCATGGGCCAAAAAAAAAAAAAAAAAGCCTGGAAGTTAGGTCAATATCAAAAATCACTCGGAGACAATTGCAAAACTAATAAGGTAGAAGTAATAGGGCTGTAACTATTAACCAAGAAATCTTAAGAAATTTAAAGAGAAAATAGTTTGTACTGGAAATGTCCTTTATTGAGGTTTCCATCCACATTCATTAGAAATACCAAATAAACAATTGCTTGGAGAGCTGTACTGAATTTTGGCATGCTTCTGAGTGAAAGTTGAGGAAGTGCTGATTTATCTGTCTATGGTCATCCAAGGAGATTTTGAGGAGTAATACAGGACTCGATTCTCTTGTTGTTTGAGATCTTTTGGGGGTGAAAAAGTGAAATTGCCTGTCTTCTTTGCTGCTTAGCAGTACCTTTTCAATATATCTGCTTTGAAATTCAAACTAGAGTTTGCATTGGTGTTTATTTTGGGTACTGGATTGTTTCCAAGGTGTCTCTTAAAGAGGCTGGATCCTGTTCTCTGCCCCATGGAAGAGTTTCTGCTCAGGTGCACTGCTGGCTCTGGGGAGATGCCCGCAGGCAGGGAGAGCAGGAGGAGAAGGATGACAGTAGTGTGCGAATTGGAGGACAGCCTTTTTCTAAAAATACAGCATTATTTTTCCTGTTAAATGACTGGTGCTGAGAGTGATTTTTAGATGAGCTATTTTTAAGAGATAATGTATCCACTAAGGCTGTCATTATGTATTGCAAGCGTTTTAATATAAACTGTTTACATATTGATTTTGTTGTAAATTAAGCTGTTTCTTCCTTATCTTCAACAGGCAGCCAGATAAACTAGTGGTCGTTTGGACAAGAAGAAGCCGAAGAAAATCCTCTAAGGTTAGTTGATTGCTTAGTAAGTCCTAACTACAGTGACAAGAAGGGTCAGCTGTTTGAGGGACTGGTTTCTTGAGTGTGGGGAGCAGCCAAATAAATGAGAAATATTTTAATTGTTTTTCTTTTCTTTTTAACTCAGTTTAGCTGTGAAGTTCAGAATAAGCTGCTGTAGATGTCAATGCTAATCTATGGAAACAATTAACTCTGATTTCAGCTTTGGTTATTTGTTTAGCAGAACTGTATCATCATCAGTTCAATTTAAGTTATTAATTGCTACACCTAATTAGGAGAATCTGTTTCACTACTAGAAGTATATTAAACAATAAGAAAAAAAGTAATAAAGAATCTGACATCACTGCAATAGGGAGATAAAGTCTGAATAAGAGGCTATTTCACAACTAGAAATACTACAGATCAAAAAGAATAAATGCAGGCTCTTTAAGTCAGTAGTGTATATTTGAATTAAATTTTAACATTTTACTTCCACAAACACTGTGAGGAAGCATGTGAATTTGTGGCTAATGACTTGGTCACCTGAGGAAAGGGGAGCTCCAAGTGAAGTCTGCCCAGTATTGGGGGATTCATAACGTTTGTCTTGCATGCGGTTGCGTTTTTTGATGTGTAAAAGTTTGCTAAGTAGAGTAGCCCTCTCTTCTGCAAGGTTCACCTTACTTTTCCTGCAGTAAGACATCTGAAAGCCTTATGAGATTACTGTCTTTTTGTTAAATGGTGCTCAGTTTGTCTAGACTGCTGAATTTTACTGCTCTGACAGTAAGATGCAGTTAGCCTGTATGGAGCCTCCTTTGCGTCTGGGGCGAAGGGAAAGGCGAGACAGTCTGGGTGTGTGGCTTGGTTTCCATAGAAAATGAAGCTTAAAAAACCCCACAACACTCTCCATTTACACTGAGATTGAAACAAATGGCAAGCATTTCTAAACCTCTGCAGTGTGTAATATGACAATGTCTTGTATGGTATTGTATTATTGACTAATAAGAGTAAAATCTTCTGTCAATCCTAGCAGTCAGTTGTTGCCCAGGGAGGTGGGGAGCCTTTATCATGCATACAGCAGGCAAGCAAAGGCCTTTGAACACTGGTCGTATTGCAGGTTTTCTTTTGTTGCCTTGTGTCTTCTGGTGTAGGGCTGTCCCTAATCTGTCCAAAAGCTTGCGAAGGGCAACACGAATGAGCTGGGGAAAAGAAGTGTCCTAACCACTGGGCAGGTTTGCAGGGGGAAGGAGTGTGTGCTGGTTTCCTCCGTTCCCAGGAACATCTCCTTTTCAGGATAACTCAGCTGCACTTGCGTGTTCCTTCTCCCCACAGCTGTGGCCTCTTACCCTGGATGGGCTTATGGCAGATGGTCTTGTCCAGAGGGGAAGTTTTGGAACTCAGCCTTTTAATAAATCTTTAACACTTCAGTTAAATAGAGATGGTCTAAGCTTTTTTTGGTGTATGCATGTAATTCAAAATGATACTTCCAAAAACTCTGGGATGGTGGAGAGAGGGCACCCATGATAGAGAAGATAGCTTGAAATAATTATATGTTGAAGAACTTAAATGTTTAGAAAATGTGATATACAGTTTCCTACCCTACTCAGAGACTCTTGGGTTTTTTTACTGGTGGTACTCTTTCTCTGACTTCTTTTTCTGATTGTCATGCATATTTGCTGTATTTTGTCTTTCAACTTGAGGTCTAAGCTATTCTAAACTGTTTTATCTAAAGACTGCTTACTGACTGAAAGTGACTGCACAACCAAATGCCTACTCCAGTGTGTGCGTCCTAAATTCTACTTTAGGGTATGAAAACCCAAAGGTGTTACCTGGTGAGTAAACAAGGGTGTGAACTTAGTCTGGCACCTTTTCCAAGATAACTGCTCCTGGTTCATATTTTTACTCTTCAGCAAAGCCAGTCAGACTGTTCCTCTTTCGTTGAAGGATAAACTTATTCAAGTTACCTTGAATAGCATGGTATATATCTAGGCAGTAACTGCTGATGTACGGTGTCTGTTGTGGCTTACCCTGTGATAACTTTTCTATTTTAGCTTTGTTTAATTTCTGTAGAATAGAGAGAGAAAAGATAATATAGAACAGTAAATTCAATACGTAACACAAGCACTGAACCCTAAAAAGCTTGGTGAAAAGCAAGGTACGTGTCCATGAATGACTGGTTTGTTGAGGTTCAGAATATGTTCAGAAACAGAAGCCCTAACAAAAGTCCAGTAGGGCTTTGAAGTGACGGGTTTCTGCCTGTGGTGTTACGGACATGATGCCGTAGGCTCCAGTGCAACATTTCACTGAGGCAAGAGGATTTTATGACGCTAGCTCAGCTTTTTGGTCTTGAAGTCTTTTCAGCTGGGCCATAAAGTTCCAGGATCTGTCTTCCTGTGAGTGTCCTCTCTTTTGGTCACCAGGCAATAGAAGCAGCTCTTGAATAAACTGGCAGATTTACCTGAGACTCAGAAGAGTCTTTTGCTAACTAATACATGCTTAATAAGATCCCACAAAGATATTTGAAAGAGGCTGAGTGGCCCTGAGGCCTGGGCAGAGGATAGAGTTAATTTTAAAGCTTAGGTAGTTGATATGATTTGAGCTGTTTGGGTCCAAGAGTGTAGATCAATAAATGTTCTTGATCTCTTAGCCATCCTGCTAGTAAAATACTTTATTCAACATTTTTGTTTCATCTAATTGCTTTCTTGGAAGCAAGTCAAATGAATATTTCCTCTTATTTTATTTTTGATGGACACTGGGCTCAGTGAGTACAAAGCATTATTAATTTTCTGTGTTTTTCAGCTGCTTTGAGAAGGAGGAGGAGGAGAGGGATGAGGTCTTACCTTACTGTAAAGATGTTGTAAAGACTTCTTCGGGATAATAAAGGATATCCCTATGTTAGTTCAGACTCACAGAACGGTTGAGGTTGGATGACCTCTGGAGGTCATCTGGTCCAACCCCTCCGCTTAAGCAGTGCCACCTAAAGGTGGTTGCCCAGGACTGTGTCCAGATGGCTTTTGAATATCCCCAAGGTGGGAGACTTTACAACCTCTCAGGGCAACTTGTGTCAGTGCTCTGTCACGCTCATGGTGAAAAAGTGTTTCCTGATGTTCAGTGGGAACCTTCTGTTTCACTTTGTGCCCACTGCCTCTTGTCCTGTCACTGGGCACCACTGAGGAGAGCCTGGCTCTGTCTTCTTTGCACCCTCCCTTCAGATATTTATATGCATCTATAAGATCCCCCCCCCAAGCCTTCTCTTCTCCAGGCCAAACAGTCCCAGCTCTCAGCTTTTCCTCCTATGAGAGATGATCCAGTCCCTTAAACATTTTCATGGCCCTTTGCTGGACTCTCTCCAGTAGTTCCATGTCTCTCTTGTACTGGGAAAGTACAAGAGATATGTCATCAAAAAATGTGGTGCAACTTGGAAGATGGTATGATGGTATTACGGACGTATACTGAAACTGGCCTGCTTAACTAATGTAATCTTAAAATACCGTTGAGCTGAAAGCCGAGTTCTTGATGTCCTTTGAAGCCCTTATTTTTGTGGTTTTCTATGATTTTGATATGCCTTCTGGCCCACATACTTTCTTTCCAAGTAAACTACTAGAGTGGTCCCTCAGTTAGAAGAAATCATGGGAGACATCGTGTGCAGGAGTCTGAGTATTTTAGTTGTTACTGTGGGAAACATAGGATAGGAGCTGTAGATATGTTAAATTATAGTAAGTTTCAAAGTGTTGCAAATAAACAGCAATAACCATTTAGAAAGAGCATTTAAATGGCAGTCTGATGGATGGATACAGGACCATAAATGTATCCAGCAGTTACTGACCTTAATGTATATTTAAGTTACTTACAGCTCTATTCTGGGATCCCCTCTGTCTGGGCAAGTCTGATTTTGATGCTTTTCAAGAGGCATGTCAAGACAAGATGGCTCTGTATAGCTGGGCATCTTCATTGTGTGTGCCAGGAGTTTACAGAAGATGGTGATTTGTAGTCTTGCTATATTTGGTAGAATTACTGAGCAATCCTAGAACCAAAATGAAGTTCCAGCTTGGGGTGGGGAGCGGAAGTCAACATTCTGCTGGTGCAAATGTTGTCTTACTTCAAAATCAGGTACGTGGGGCTTGCCACAATTTTTCAAACCTCATTTAGATGGTTACCAGTCTCCATAGTTCACAGAAGGTGGAGCTTGTGGCAGTGGACTTGCTTAACTATTCCTGTTTGGTACCCTGTCACACTGGCATGTTGTTCCCAGGTTTTCAGGCCATGGGCTTTTGGACTTGGCTTTTTTTTTTGAGTGGGGGAGGAATGTCTTTGTTCTAGTGTAGAACAAGGGAAAAATGTGTTGTAAATATGTTTACCTTCATTTCACTGAGATGCTCTCGCATTTCCAGGCTTTGAACTAAGAAATTTCAATTTGAAAAGAGATGCTGTCGTGATGTCAAGGAGATACTTTCTGCTATTCCTGTGAACACATACAGGCTTGCAGTTGAATTATACGCCTCTGAAGAATCAAATTTGCACTTGCTTCTCAGAGCCTGACAGAATTATTCTTCAAAGATCCTTTTTGTATCAAAGCTGAAAGAAGGTGCCTTGCTTGTGATTTCAGCACTTCCGCTGCAGGTTTATTGAAAACTGTTTAAACAGAGAGGAGAAGGAACAACGTTGGGAATGGGGGAAGGACTTAACAGTGAGAGCAGAGCCAAGAGAAGCAGAGGGACAGGGAATAAAAAGGATCTATATGTAGGGAGTAAAAAGGATCCCTTGTTGTCTACAACAGCAGCCCGCCCAGTCTTTTTTCAAGGATATGCCATCAATAAGCAGCAGTTGGGTCACCTGTTTTGCTGTCCTAGGCAATCTGTTGCCTTTTCTGGCTACTTCGTTGCCTAGTGCCAGCCCTGCTTGTCACTACCAGCTTCTTCACTGACTGCAGTTACAAAGGCATGTTGTGACTCTGATATGCTGATGACTGCCTGGGACCAGCGCAGTTCAGTAGCGGCACTCCTGGGGCTTCTCGA